ATTTATGCCTTAACACATGTTTTAGAGCAGGACACATTAAGTACACAAATCTAGAGGTGAAAGGTAAATATATACATACATACAGTGAAGAACATATATTTGAACATATACTCTATTGGAACAAGATCATGAACAGTTACTACAAACTTAAGTCAACACTACAAACTTGAATCAATTCTGCATGCCATAATTAAGGAAAGCTAATGCTGTCAGGGTCCACCCCTCTCTCACGTATACTGGTCTTGATGCTGTACTTCGTATATCTGTTGAATGTCAAGTAACCATGAGACTCGTTATATACCTTCATGACTACCTATGTAACTATTAGTCGTGAAGCTTTCCATTTGTAGACCAAGGATAACCTAAAGCATAGTTCACACATTAAAAACGTTGGTTGGAACCCTCAGTCACAATAGAAGTTTCTACTTGCATATCCCATTTCAATGTTGATTTAATTTAAGCGAATCTCAAATTTTACTATCAAACATTGTCTTTGGAATTGAGTGTTAATTCTTCTTAGAACATCATCTAAATAAACTTGATTTTCGGAAGCTTGTAAACCTATGATCAGTACAGTATATTACATTAGTGTCATACACTTTCATTACTCAAACACTGATACGCTTCTTTATCAACTGCATTGTCTTGACTCTTTCTTGCTGATATTAGGGTTGAATTCATTTGACCAAAAGATATCATATGTCTTTTATACATTGGCTTCATCTTGGTGCGAGTATACTATTTACTGTTTTGATGATGCTTTGTGTAGGATGATGATAACACTGTTCAGTGAATCAATAGATTCTGCAAGCTTATTTCAGAATTTTAACCTGTCCTCATCTGATAGTAAGTTGGGCTTCAATTCTTTTGTTATGTATAACGTGATGAGTACATCTCCCTGCAACTTAGTGGCTCCGCTGGTTTTTGCCTGATAATCAAAAGATCAGCTTATCTTTGTCTTTAGCTTCTCGGAAAATATCCTTTATAAGTCTTAGAAAAAGTCTTAGTGCACAAAAATGTCGAGGATACTTTGTTCCTGCCTACATATGTTCAACAACACCCAAATGTACTGACATACAGTTTTTGGTCACAAGTGAACACTACAATATCTTGTGCCACCTGCCTTTTTAGTCTCTCTGCTTCTACCATTGCTGTCATCATGGTGTCGATTTTTATCGATTAGTGATGTGTACACATTTCTAGATAGACAATTTTGACCGTGGCCTTCTTCTCCTCTGCCTATTACTTTGTTGAACCCATTCATGCTTGACACATATTCGTTCTAGTAACTTCAGCAAAAATAGTATAGTCCCTTCTCTAGGCCTTCTTGCAGCTAATACTTACACTGACAAAATTTAGGACTGAATATATTGCTTTTTCTATAGACATGTCTGGTTTCCCACATGTATCTGCACTTTACCTTTCTACTTACAACATTATTTCCTCTGTTACGCGATGTCAACTGTTTGTTTTCTGATTGGAGGGCAGCATAGAAAAGATAAGTGTAGACTGCAAACCCTTCTGACTTTGTCAACAATTACTTGACAAATTTTTCATTATCTGCATTGTTATGTTAAAACTCTATTGATGTTTTCATGCAAGTGCCACTGATCCCCGGTAATTCGTCATAGGTACACAAAAACTTCAAATTGGTTTATTTTTGTAGTCAAATGGATATGCTTGATATTTGTTTCATATGACTCGCTGGAAAACACA